CATAAAACTAAATGGCTTCCCTTCTAGTCCTTAGAATAAAGTCCAGACTCTTGCTAGCCTTTAAGATGGTCTTTAAGATGCTACTGCATTTGGGAGGCCGAGATGGGTGGATCACAAGATCAGGAGTTCGAGACCAGCCTGACCAACATGGTGAAACCTGTGTCTCTACTAAAAATACAAAAAATTAGCCAGGTGTGGTGGCGCATGCCTGTAATCCCAGCTACTCAGGAGGCTAAGGCAGGAGAAATGCTTGAACCAAGAGACAGAGGTTGCAGTGAGCCGAGATCACGCAACTGCACTCCAGCCTGGGCAACAGAGTGAGACTCTGTCTCAAAAAAAAAAAAAAAATGCTACTGCAGGACCAGGCTCCTACCTCTCTTTGACCTCACCACTTACCACTTACTCCTTTGCTCACCGGGCTCCACTCACACCAGCTTTTCTGATCTGCAAAGACTCTGAGCTCATTTCAGCTTTCAGACCTTTGCACTGGCTGCTCCCCTCTACCTAAAATGCTCCATCCTCTGACCCTTGCACAGCTCATTCCCATATGTCATCCAAGTCTCCAGCCATAGCCTTCTTCATCCACTCTTACTTCAGACCCTCATCCCACCCGTCATTCACCAAGACCCCTGAGATAAGCATGCGCATTGACATAAATCTCTTAAAAACAAGATGTACAATGTGCAATCATCGTATATTTGTAAGTGTTGCAAATTTACCAAATTGTCCAATTCGATTACATACTTGCTGACCACCTTCTATGGATAAGGCAGTGTGGGAAATAAGATGGTCCTGCCCAAATCTTCATGAATAAAGCTTCTCCAACACTTGGCCTGGTCATGACAACGCTAATACTCAAAAGGCACTGCCAGAAAAGTGGTGAGGACTTCAAAAGGGTCTCTTTCAGTCCATCACTACCCTAATTTCATTTTACATACACAGAGTTTACAGAATGTGAAATCCTATATAAGGGCTCACCTGTGGATGTCTGCAAGGTATTTAACTCGAGTCTGGGCTTAAGGGTAACTAACCTTTGGTACCCTCCTGTCCTCAACACACATAACCTTGTGACACACGCCTTCAACCGTCTTTCCAGTACAAGCTGCACTCATTGTTCACGGCTTAAACTCACATTGTTCCATTTGTTCTGAGTGCCTTGATAATGACCCTATTTTTCTATGCTCTCTACCTCCAAAGGGAACAGAACATACCTAGCCACAACTGTCCTGAAAGAGATACAACTGGAGGCCAGGCTTGAAAAGCCTGAAGTCACCTAGTTTGCCTCTTGGCAAGTAGTAAACACACAGCTACAAGCTGATTGGTCACTAAGGAGTATAGTCCTGTGGCCATGCAACAGAGAAGGATTTACCCACAAGGGTCTGTTTCTTCGTGTCAATAATCAGCAAATGAAACAGATGATCCTAAATGCCCTTTCGAACTCAGAGAGGAACCCCAACCACAGCCCCACCAGGACAGGACTTTCGATGAGCCCGGGCATTTTCCCATCCAGGGAGGGACCAGCCCTCCACCATTTCAAATTCCTAAGGCACAGACCACTACCTCCAAATGATGAAGACAAACATTTACCATTAGGTTCCCTCAAGGCCATGATGAAGATAGACTGACAGAACCTCACCACACCAATAACTCCTCACCAAAACCAATGCAGGACTTTCTCAGCTCTGAGGACCATTCAGCAGCTGATGAAGAACGGGCCACAGGCCTGATGTGGGGGCTCAGGCCTGTAATCCCAGCACTTTGGGAGGCCGGGGCGGGCAGATCACTTGAGGTCAAGAGTTTGAGACCAGCCTGGCCAACATGGTGAAACCCCATCTCTACTAAAAATACAAAAATTAGCCGGGCGTGGTGGCGTGCACCTGTAATCCCAGCTACTCGGTAGCCTAAGGCAGAAGAATCGCTTGAACCCAGGAGGTGGAGGTTGCAGTGAGCCAAGATCGTGCCACTGCACTCCACAGCCTGGGCGACAGAGCAAGACTCCATCTCCAAAAATAAAAAGAACAGGCCACACCCAGGCTTATGGCAAGTCCTCTGCTCCATGTTTAGTTTCCATACTGCACAGCAAGGTCTGCCCTGCTTATGTTTCAAAAATCAGAAAGCCACTTTGGAAATGGAACTATATGACTCTCTCGGAAAAAGCAAATATACTTAAAAATTCTTAAAGAGCAGCAATGTGAAAAGGTGGGGAGAGCCACTTAAGACACCTATCATTCTCCTGGTGTCTTTAGTACCAGCCACACAGACCCCGACAATTCTAGACACAGTCTTTGTTTTGCCATCCAATCACTCCTGTCAAGGCCAGGGCACTCCACAGAGACGTTTTCCTGGTGAAAAGAGGAGGAGCAGGTGGCCCTGTTTCTTATTAATTGGACTCAGCTCAGCTACTATCAGGGATAGAGCTTGGGTTTCAGAGACTGCCAGTCCACACTTCCTCTTTTCCATGCCCTTCCCCCAGACAAGACTGTGTACAATTAATCTCATTCGCTCAGCCTGATTGACCTGATTTTTCAGGCTCAGTAAACAAGAAACTCAATACATATGCCCCACACGTGGGGGGTAAAGAAAGAGCAAACAAATGTTTATTTGATATCTAACTTAAATTACACAAGCTTATGTCTCCCAGTGTAATAATGTTTTATAGATGCCAGATAAATCCTTGCTATATGACATTTTAAAATTGTGCCTCAAATACAAATATATACTAAGTACTAACATACTTGCCACAGGCAAAAACAGAGTAATCTGTACTATAGTATCCCAGAGCTGTGTATGCACTGGATTTTTCATCTGGCAAGGTTAAGAGAATATTTGATGAAGGGTGTGTATACATAAGAGACAAATCCAGGGACACTCCAGGAATTGTAAAAACTTATTTTTGTTTATAAGAACAGATACCGGACAGGTGCGGTGGCTCACGCCTATAATCCCAGCACTTTGGGAGGCCAAGGCGGACGGATCACGAGGTCAGGAGATCAAGTTCCTCCTGGCCAACATGGGGGAACCCTGTCTCTACTAAAAATACAAAAATTAGCTGGGTGTGGTGGCGGGTGCCTATAATTCTAGCTACTCGGGAGGCTGAGGCACGAGAATCACTTGAACCCAGGAGGAGGTGGTTGCAGTGAGCCAAGATCACACCACTGTACTCCAGCCTGGCGACACAGTGAGACTCTATCTCAAAAAAAAAAAAAAAAAAAAAAAAAAGAACAGATACCATTAACTTGATAAGTGAAATATTCTGGTTCATTTTAAGGAAGTCAGGATGGCTTTCTATACTTGTTTCGGCCATAGGATCAAAAATTCAATGTGTATATCCCAATTTTTTTTTAACAAAAGTCAATGTGATACACGAGAATGAGCTGCAAATTCACAGCCAGAAGTTTTGGTTTACAGCCTCATTCCAATAATTTCCAACTAGTGGTCTCAGGTTAATGATCTCACATCTGACTTTATCCTATCACTGCCATAATTTCCAACTTATAGATAAAGAAATTCATACCATTTCCCTGGTCACTGAGAGATCCAAATTCAATCCTCCCTTTGAAAGTGTTTTATTAGCAACTTTATAGCACATACATGAGAATGGGATTCACCAGAGGCTCCCTTTTCCACTGTCCACAGTTTAGTACATATCAACCCTTCACACCTGATGGGACAAGATGGAACAAGGAGAATGGGTATGTGGCAGTTTGTTACTATTCTGTCCTTTGGCAAGTACTTAAAGTTTTCCATCACAGTTTATTTTTATAACTAGTTGATTCATTATTTTTTATTCCTCTTCTCAAGCTGTACAATGTTTTCGCAGATCTATGATCTTTCTGGTTTTACATTTTTACAACCCAATGTTGACTGACAGGTTTCTCTCTGGAATTCAGGTCAGTCCCTACTTCGGGTCTTTCCTCATGGGATGCCCTAGACCTGCTCCGAAGACAGATTAATCATCTAGAGGTCTCCTTTGGGAAGTAGGAGGGTGCTATTTAGAAGTGGGCTTGTTCAACACTGAGCCACGTATCTTTTTCTATTGGTCATAAAGACTGAGCCCTTCACTAATCAGTGCCACCATTGTTGGAGTCTCTTGAAGTGATGTTCTCCAACCAGTCTATGTGCAGACTGGGGAAGTTTCCGGTGTGGGCACTGGCACATTTCCTCCTGCACTACGCTCCCGATTCTGCAAACAGAATTTGAGGCCAAAGATTTTTTTTTGTCCTCATAGTTCCTCTTCTCGTTCACCACTGCTAGACCAAAGCCATTCTCACTCTTGTTCCTTTTATATATCATCTGCCCCTCCCTATATTTTAAAAAGCTTTCAAATTCTTATCACTTTTGTTCTAAAATTCCACAATAACATGCTTTGGGTCGGTGATCTTTTCAATCCTTTTGCTGGGCAATTATCATGTCCTTTTAATCAGACGATTTATGTCTTTGGGTTTGGGGGATTTTCTTGTATTATTTCTTTTACAATTTCCTTCCCTCAGTCTTCCCTGTTCTCTCAGGAACTCTTATCAGTCAGATGCTGAACCTTTGGGATTAATCCCCTATGTCTCTTTCCTTTCACATTTTCAGTACTTTTGCATTTCTGTTCTACTTTCCAACTACTTTTGTTTTGTCTTACTTTAAGATTTCTTCAACTTCACCTTCCAACTTTATTATTCAGTTTTATTTCAGCAATCATATTTTAACTTCCAAGAGCTCTAATTATCTATTACTGTTCCATGGCATCCTTGTTCTTGTTTCACAAACATTATATCTTCTTGAACTCTCAGAGAAACTAGTAAGAATTTCTTCCCAAACTGTTTGTTTAATTCACGTACTTGGTTCACCACGTGTTCCATTTATATGTCCATGATGTCAGTCCACATGTCTGATCCTGCCCACCCAGGAAGAAGGAAACTTATATCACATGCAAACAGGCAATAATCCATTACTTTCTGATAATTCCTATTACAAAGAAAGTATCCAAATACACAAGAAGCAAGCCAGCTTACCTTCATGGAGTCAGAGTATAAAATATATTCCCTGAGCACAGGTAGGAAATCTTCTGTCATGTCATCTGTCAGCTCTTCTAAGGCTGTAGAGCAGTTCCCAATGCAAGCTGATACACCCTCCAGGGGTTCAGCCAGCTCACCCTCCAAGGCGCTCCATGTGGAGTATACAGGCCCGTATTCTCTCAGCTCCACAAGATACTCTGAACGGGGAAGAGAAACCAATTAAAATCTGGCTGGGTAGCAGTCGCTGCTATTACTAACTCAGTAATCACCACAGCCAAGAGCTCTCTACATGAACATGTGTTTCTTTGGCCATTCACTCACCTGATCCCACTCTTCTTTAAACACAACACTGTTTCTAACACAACTGCTTAAAACTCTGACAGCTCATGTTACATCAATCCATTCCATCCCATGGATGGGAATGCCATGCCGCTGGATAATGGGCCTTATGGGGAAAAGCAGTAGCAGCCACATCCACCAAACATCTTCAAAAATAACCACTCGCCGGCCAGGCCTGGTGGCTCACGCCTGTAATCCCAGCACTTTGGGAGGCTGATGTGGGTGGATCACAAGGTCAGGAGATCAAGACCATCCTGCTAACACGGTGAAACCCTATCTCTACTAAAAATACAAAAAAAATTAGCAGACATGGCGGCACACACCTGTAATCCCAACTACTCTGGAGGCTGAAGCAGGAGAATTGCTTGAACCCAGGAGGCAGAGGTTGCAGTGAACCAAGATCGCTCTACTGCACTCCAGCCCGGGCAACACAGTGAGACTCCATCAAAAAAAAAAAAAAAAAACAACGAACAAAAGAAAATAACCACTCACCTACCCATACTGTGAAGCAATTTTTTTTTTTTTTTTTTTTTTTTTTTTAGATGGAGTCTTGCTCTGTCGCCCAGGCTGGAGTGCAGTGGCACGATCTTGGCTCACTGCAAGCTCCACCTCCCGGGTTCACGCCATTCTCCTACCTCGGCCTCCCGAGTAGCTGGGACTACAGGCACCTGCCACCATGCCCGGCTAATTTTTTGTATTTTTGTTTAGTAGAGACGGGGTTTCACCACGTTAGCCAGAATGGTCTCGATCTCCTGACCTCGTGATTAGCCTGCCTCGGCCTCCCAAAGTGCTGGGATTACAGGCGGGAGCCACCGCATCAGCCGTAAAGCAGTATTTTAACAGGCAATGGAGGCAGAGTTTCATATAGGTTTAGGGAGATGTTTTTAAAGGTTAAAAAAAATCAGTCACAATGGATAAACAATGGCATTTTAGGAAACGTTTTGATACAAGAGATGTGGTCTTACACTGGCAGACTCACTCTCTCACTCGGTGGTCACCTCAGCCCCTTGGATCCCATCAGAATTTACTCCGCACGATCCCTAGGTGTGGATGGTATCCAAAGCTATCTCCAAAACCTATGGGCCCCACATGGTATCATCAGTGGATCAAGTAGGGGGAACAAGTACAAGAAATGAGGAAAAAAAAAGGTTGATTTATTTTGTCCCCCATAAAGAAAACCTGGCCCAACACTTGTCACCAGGAGTCTTGCCATTTCATCATGGCTTAGCAACCAGTGAATGGCAACTGCTGGGGAATCCTTCTCAGTGTGCCTCCCATGCCAGTGCGATCATTTACACTGTTCATGTCTGTCCACCCCACACGTATGTAAGGAGACAAAAGATCCCAACAATCTGGGACGCGGCAAAGCAGGTGGCCCTGAGAGGGGTGGAAAGGAAGTGGAGGCAAAAACTAGGAAGGATCAATACAGGCCCCGGCAACTCCCCCATGCAGGAGGAGTGGGTTTAAAATGAACCAGGATGGAGTGGGTGAGTCAATCACAAGTCTGAAGATTCATCAGGGTCGTAACTTTGGCAAACATAGGTCTCCATGCTGTCCTTTTGAATCATCTTTCTGCCAGAAAATGTATCTAAGTTTGTTTAAATTACTGTTCCCTATGGATGAAGGGCAGTTGAGTCTATGTCTCCACTTTTAAAGCTAAAGTTAAGAGAGCATAAAAGAGGAAACACCTGGCGAATTAGCAGTGCTGGCCATGGGAAAAGCAAACACAAGGCTGACACAGTAGGACAAAGGATGGGGTGCAAAGTGACATTCCAGTCACACCTAACTCCTCCCCTCCTTGTATTTCTTTGATAAGCAAAAGATGGTCTAGTTCTGTCACTCTAGCGTTTTGCAGTTTGATTCTCTGTAGTACACATGAATGGCATTTCTGCCAGTGTGGTTGCAGGGCATAATCAAGACCTCAACAGACAGCTCACCTATTTCTTCTTTGATGATCCGCTGGGCTATTCGATCAATGGTTCCCAGTTTGAGTGCAAACGTATCTAAGTAGTCACCTATGGCGGCAAACTCAAGCGGCCGAGTCCTCAGCTTGTAGCCGCCAGTGACGTGCTTGACTGACTCGCCCATTCTGGTCAGCAGTGCTATCCCTTGCTTCTTGTAGGCGTTCAGGTCCTGAGGATGATATGTGAATAAGCTCAAAGCACTCACTCACTCACCTGGGCAGGACTAAATAAAACAGCTTCTAAAAGAGCTTCAGTTTGGAAATGGAGGACTCGGGAAACAAGGAGTTGAGTTAGAGGCCCTAATCACATTCACACGTGGACCCTGGACGGGACATCATAACCACCAGATTCAGGCTCCTATGGGTTGACACCTAGATCCCTTTCAGCAGAGCTGAACTCCAATCCTTAAATTCACTCACGGGAGCACACTGCCCTTTAAACACAACACTGTTTCTAACATAATGTTTTAAAAGTATCTGTTTATCCCATACAAAGTACCCTATGTTGTCTTTAGGAGCAAAACTGAAGAGCAGAGGTTCTGAGATCCATCACTCATTTATTTATACCCCAACTAAAGCCATATAAGGGGAGTAAAGGGTGGAAAGCAGGAAACAGTGACAGAAAAACATTGCTAGAAAACTCAGGCCTAGGATGGATGCTGTAAACAGCAAAACATTTTAACCCTGGATTTCTTGAAGGCGAAACTGGAAATATGCTGAGTTTCATAACCTATTGTATCTAAATATAGGCACGGTGGCTTATGCCTGTAATCCCAGTACTTTGGGAGGCTAAGATGGGCAGATCACTTGAGGTCAGGAGTCCAAGGCCAGCCTGGCCAACATGGTGAAACCTCGTCTCTACTAAAAATACAAAAAAAAAAAAAAAAATTAGCTGGGCGTGGTGGCGTGCACCTGTAGTCCCAATTACTCAGGAGGCTGAGGCATGAGAATCACTTGAACCTGGAAGGCAGAGGTTGCAGTGAGTTGAGATCATGCCATTGCACTCCAGCCTGGGCAACCAAGCAAGACTCTGCCTCAAAAAAGGAAAAAAAAAACAACAAAAAGCACATTAGCCTGCCTGATAAAACAAGCTTCCTCCTATCATCAAACCCTAAGAGGAATCTATACCATCTTCAGGTTGTCCTGTGTCACCTACTGAAAGGGTAGCTTCCAAAATGGTTTTACAGAAGGTACAGGTGTCTGTTCCTCATATCCACCCTCAATACAAACAGAATGTTAATTCCCAGACTTAGAAGGGCATGACTAGAGGGAGATAGAGGAACCCAGAACAAGGACACAGCTTTCTGGTGACGTGGCCTGATGCAGAGGATAGAGCAGAGGACGCGGAATTCACAGCTAACATGGCCCGACAGTCCCTTCATATTTGATGTACAATTTCAGGCTGAGGTCTCTATAGTATCTGAGTGTAGGCTCCTTTTGAATTCACTTCCTTCTTCGTTTCCTTCTTCAGGCCTTCATTTTTGCTCTTGCCCCACCCTTTCCTATTGAGGTTTCAGTGTGTGTGTGTGTATATATATATATATATATAGGTTTTTGTCCACAGTTCCTGGCTTATAACCTCCACAGCCCTTGTTCCAGTCTTTTCACTCTAATGTTGGGTGTGTTAAGCCTCAGGAAACAGAATCTCTCTGACCTTCTCCTGCCCTCCTTTCACCTGCCCCAAGGCAGCAGTCGACTCTTCCCCAGGCTTTCTGACTATGGGTCATAAGGCCCTCATTCCAGACAGGGTCCCTCCCCGCACCCTGGAGGATGGAATGCTGCTGTCACGAAGCTTCCACAAAAACCCAAGAGAGTTGGGTTCAGAGAACTTCTGAAGAGCTGAATGTGTGGAGTTTCCTGAAGGGTGGTACACCCAGGGAGGGCATGGAAGCTCCACGTCCCTTCCCCCACGCCTCGCCCAATGCAACTCTTCATCTGTATCCTTTGTGATATCCTTTATAGTAAGCTGGTAAATGTGTTTCTCTGAGTTCTGTGAACTGCTCCAGCAAATTAATGGAACCCGAAGAAGGGGTCACAGGAAGCCCAACTTGAAGCTGGCTGGTCAGAAGTTTGGAGGCTTGAACTTAATATCTGATATCTGGAAGCTCTCAGTCTTGGGGACTGAGTCCCCAACCTGTGGGATCTGATGCTATGTCCAGGTAAATAATGTGTGAATTAAACTGGTGGACATCCAGCTGGCAACTGCTGCCTGGTGTTTGGGGAAAATCTGCTCCCACCTCCAGTCTGCAATTTGGTGACAGAAGTCTTCTTCTGTGACCTTCCCCAAACCAAGGGGCTTGCCCTACCAATGATCCCCTCTCCTGTCTGTATCCTCAACTTCTAATCCCTCAGCATGTAAAATACACCCAAGGCTGACCCATCTTTTTTTTTTTTTTTTCTTCTTTAGACAGAGTCTCAGCTCACTGCAAGCTCCGCCTCCCAGGTTTACGCCATTCTCCTGCCTCAGCCTCCCAAGTAGCTGGGACTGCAGGTGCCCGCCACCTCGTCTGGCTAGTTTTTTGTATGTTTTACTACAGACGGGGTTTCACTGTGTTAGCCAGGATGGTCTCGATCTCCTGACCTCGTGATCTGTCCGTCTTGGCCTCCCAAAGTGCTAGGATTACAGGCGTGAGCCACCACGCCCGGTCAACCCATCTTAAAAACAGCAGCAATTTTCTCTAGTTTCTCTCCACCTCTCTCCTTCCCTTCAGAGTCAGGCTGCCTGAGAGAGTGTTCACTATATAACTGACTGTATGACAAACTGTCCACCTCCTCTCCTGCCTGTGAACATGTGCATGATCGTGTGAATGGTTTACAGCTTTGTGGCGCTACCAACAATGCTGCTGTGAACACTCATGCAGATGCACCCTCTTTAGAAAACGCAAGTCTCTTTAGGGAATAAACCAAGACAAGGATGGCCAAGTAGGTCTAGAGATTCCATTCTGTCCTCCCACATTCTAGACAAGAAACATCCTCAAAGGCTCCAGGCCTTCACAAGACTATAACTGAAGCCTCAGAGTCCTTGGAATTACCTCTGCAGACAGCATTTTTATGAGTGGGACTAGAGTCAAATGGGCTCACTGGACTGCACAGGCTCTGCTTCGAGTAGAGCTGTGAAAGGGTGTCCCAGTTAACCAAGTTAATTTACATGTTGAATAAAGTTATTTAGTAGTATCTATCTGATTGCTGTACCCACTCTGCCAAAGATGAAAATATTGACTTGTATATAGTTGCTATTGAGCGTCCTCATTTCTCCCAGCATTACTGGCTGCTGCTGCTGCTGCTTTTTAATATATAGAAATGGGGTCTCACCATGTTGCCCAGGCTGGATGTGAACTCCTGGGCTCAGGTGATCTACCTGCCTTGGCCTCCCAAAGTGCTGGGTGTTACAGGCATGAGTCATTACACACAGCCTTATTGGCTTCTTCTTAAGGACACTTCTAATTTGTTGATAAGCTCATGTCATCACAAGGAAAAGGAAGAGCGTCTCTGCATTCCCTAAGGCAGAACATGTAAGTGGCTCATCTAAGAACAAGATCAAGTTATTCAAGGTATGTTAAAGGAAAAAATGAGGCAGCTGGAAGAGGGGGAATAGGGTGCTGACATTTAATGGGCATAGAGTTTCCGATCTGCAGGATGCAAACGTTCTGAAGATGAGCTGCATAACTAATTTAAATATACTTAACACTACTGAACTGTACACTTAGAAATCGTTAGGATGGTAAATGTTATGTGTATTTTATCACAATTTTTAAAAATTTTAAAGAAAAGATAAGGCTGTTTAGCACATTTTGTTCAGCAAGTGGTACTGAACTAGGGCTAGAATTTGTTCTGTTTAAAGCCACCTTTCCTGTATTCACTCACACGGAGTTGGATTTTGATCGAGGCAGTAAAGGACCTTATAATTTTTAACTCATTTTCATACTGCTTGGCCCACAGATAGATAAATATCCTTCTCTCTCTCTCTCTGTCTGTCTCACACACACACCCTCTCTTTCCTACTTATTCTTCACGCACATTCCTAACAACCAGGGGTCAAGCTTTTCCCTCCCTCTTCTTTTTTGTTCAGTAAACATGACTGTACTTGAGGGCTTTCTGGAAAATGGACCTTGGGGGAGAGAGTGAGTTCTGCTTTTGGAGAACAGGATGTATTCTACTTTGAGTATGAGTTGAAGGAATTATACCTAAGGATTAGTTCACTAGGAAATACTTATTTTTAAGAAGTGTACCAGTCCAACCTGTAGGCAGGGAAAGCCTCTGGGAAAAAGAGACGCTGAATTGGAATGTTGTCAATAAGGCTAAGGCTCAATGCCAACTGAGGTTATACAACAAAACTAAAGGACTTTGTCATGTGGCTTCCATTGAGGGAAGAATGGCACACTTTCTGAAGTCTTTAATATCAACTAATGTTATCTATAACTATTTCTCAATTTTGCAGATTTGAAAAATAGAAAGTATCTGGACCACAATACCCTTGCCAACATGGAACATGTTACATATGGCCTGAACATGGGAACATGATACCTGAAACCAAACAGATGGGACTGGAGGGAAGCTAGCAGGAGGGTCTGAGCACGTGACCCCATTTCTGCAGACAGCGAGAGTGCAGCACCTCGGGTTTTCTGGCCGGTTCTGCCAACAGGGAAGTGCAGAGAAAGGCTAGTGGACAACCAACTTGAGTTTGAATACACAGAATCTGGCAGCTGTGTAGGACCCAAATGCTTTATCTGGCAAATGTCCACCTGAAAGGAACATGGCTGCAGATAAGTAACAATCAGGCAGTCTGATACACAGGGATGGTGTGGCCTCAGCAGCCACAAAGACCCAACTTGAGATCCTAGTGACACTACCGGAACAACGACAAGTTCCCGGAACTTGAGTTTCCTTGTCTGCAAAATGCAGCTGCAAGTAATCACTCAAAGTGCCCTTATGAAGAACACCCTCACCAAACACTCAAATGTTCCTTCTCTTCCGTGCCCATTGTTGGTCAGACTGGCCTCACCCAGTCATACTGCCAAGTGTTTAAAGAAACACTTAGCTCTGCTTTTGGCAGAGCAAATATTCTAACTTCCTCTGCTGCTGTAAGTGGGTGGGGTCCTCGATGGGGGTGGGGATAGATTTCCTAAATATTAACATAGAATCCATCTATACGGATTTGCTAATGCAAAAAAAGCATGCTAATGCACATAGGTACCCAAAAAAAGACCAATTTTATGACAACCCTGTTATAGTGAACCATTCGCTCATGAAGGTGGCTTCTGAAAGATCAAAACAGCTTTTTTTTTTTTTTCTTAAAGAGACAGGGTCTCACTCTGTCACCCAGGCTGCAGTGCAGTGGTATGATCATAGCTCACTGAAGCCTCAAACTCCTGGGCTCAAGCTATTCTCCTGCCTCAGCCTCCCGGGTAGCTGGGACTACAGGCGCACAACATCACACTCGGCTATTTGTTAAGTTTTTGCAGAGACCGAGTCTTGCTCAGAACAGCTTTTAGGAAAGAGGCCCAAGAATGGTAATATGGGAGAAGAGTATGTAAACTTCTGCCCTTACCTTAGCAGTAAGGAAAACATTAAAGTGTTCATTGAAAGAGAGCACAGGATGATCCGTAATTCTTTTTAGAAATTTATCCAAAGCTTTTCTTCTGGTCTCCACAAACTCTTCTGAAAAACGATCCACAACACCTTTTACCACAAACTTCTCGGGAAGAGGCTACAAAGACATGAAGAAAAAAATCAGAGTCATGGATGAGATGGTGCCAGGAAAAACAACCAGGCTGGCACACAGTTCTATTACCCTCTGTCCAAGAAAAGCATTTCTTAATCAGGCAGATCTTCATGTAGTCATTAACATAAAGATTTCTGAAAAATATACATGGAGTAAATATCCTGTCAATTTCATAATGCAAGGAATAAAACACTAAATATAGTCTCTGAAATACATAAAAGTAGATATTTATTGAGTAAATTCAACAGTAATTTTTACATTGCTTGATGTAAACGTGATATAATGGAAAAGTTACGGCAAGAAGAAAAGAAAAGAGGAGAGGGGAAGAGAGGGCAGGGGAGGGGAGGGGAGGAGAGAGGAGAGGAGGGAAGGAAGGAAGGAAGGAAGGAAGGCAGGCAGGCAGGCATCAACCACGTAAAAATTTATTTAAATATTTTAAGCTTCTGCTCCCAGTACTTCATCCCCCATTCATATTTGGTGAATGAATAAATTACGTAAATTCATGTATCTAAAAAAAATACCTTTTATAAGCCAATTTTTTGGTTTAGGTTTATACTAAAAAATTCTTTAAAATGTAATTTCCTTTATTCCCCTTACTCAAATACATTTCTTTATTATACTGACTTAGAGCCAATACTGTCGGCAATTTACAACTACCTGCCTACCAAGGGATCTCTGAGCTTTTAATCTGTTTCCATAGCAGTTTGATCAACTGCTTGATTAAAAAGCCTTCTTTATTATTCCTACCACAGAGAAAAGAAGTATCTGCCATGCACCTGTTTTAAAATATTTGAGCTATGAAATATTTTAAAAATTGTACACTTTAAAAATAGGTAACTAAATCTAATAGATATTTCTCTAAAGAAGATATCCAATGGCCAAGAAGCACATGAAAAGATGCTTAACATTAGTAGTCATCAGGGAAATGGAAGCCAAAATCATCATGAGATGCCATTTCATACATTTCATACCTACTAGGATAGCCATAATCTTAAAAAAAAACAAAAAACAAAAAACAAGCGTTGGTGAGGATGTGGAGAAATCAGAACCTTTATACATTGCTGATGGGAAAGTAAAACATGCAGCCACTGTGGAAAACAGTTTCGTGGTTCCTCAATAAGTTAAATATAGAATTACCATTTAACTCAGCAATTCCACTCACACATTTATGCCCAAAAGAACTGAAAGCAAGGTGGGCGTTGTAATCCCAGCACTCTGGGAGGCCGAGGCGGGTGGATTGCCTCAGCTCAGGAGTTCGACACCAGCCTGGGCAACATGGTGAAACCCCATCTCTACCAAAAATATTAAATATAAAAACAATTAGCTGGGCATGGTGGCTTGCAGCTATAGTCCCAACTATTCAGGAGGCTGAGGTGGGAAGACAGCTTAGGCTCACAAGATGGGGAGGCTGCAGTGAACAGAGACTGCATCACTGCACTCCAGCTTGGGTTACAGAGTGAGACCTCATCTCAAACAAACAAACAAACATTTTTAAAATCTTTAAAAAAAGAATTGAAAGCAGATGCGCACACCAAAGTTTGTACGCAAATAGTCATAACAGCCCTGTTTACAATGGCTAAAAGGTAGAAGCAATCCAAATGTCCATCAGCATGTGAATGGGCAAACAAAATGTGGCATATCTGTGCAATGGACTATTATTTGGTCATTAAAAAAAAGTACTAAAACATGCTGCATCGTGGAAAAACCCCAAAAACATTATGGTAAATGAAAGAAGCCAGATACAAAAGTCCATATATACGATTCCATTCACATGAAATGTCCAGAATAGGCAAACCCATAGAAAGCAGATGAGTGGTTGCCAGGGGCTGGAGAGATCGGAGGAAATGAGATGTGACTGCTTCATGGGTACACGGTTTCCTTCCAAGGTGATTCTGAAACTTTCAGAAGGTGGTGATAGTTGCACAACATTGTGAATGCACTTGACGCCACTGAATTGTAGATTATAAAACGGTGCTAGTTTTTCAGTGCAATAAAAGAGCATATTATATATATATCAAAGTCATAAAGCATAAGAATAATACCAGTACTTATTAACTTACTAATCTACCACCCAACTTGACAGACACAACAGTGTCATTGACAAAGCTCCCTGTCAGCGGATCCCTGATCAGATCTCCACTTATTCCTGCCCCCACGAGGGAACCACAATCCTCAACTTTTTGGTCATTGCTCCCCTCTAAGTTTCAGTTTTAAAACAATGTGCTGTTCATTGAACTTGTTTTTTAAGTTTATAAAAATAAAACTCCAGTTAATGTGTCACTTAATGACAGAGATACACTCTGAGAAATACATTGTCAGGCGATTTCAATCATTGTGTGAACATCATAGAGTGCACCTACACAAACCTAGATGATGCGGCTACTACACACCTAGGCTATACGGTATAGGCTATTGCTCCTAGCATGTTACTGTACTGACTACTGCAGGCAATTGTAACACAATGGCAAGTACTTGGGTATCTAAACATATTTAAATGTAGAAAACATATTTAAACGTACAGTAAAAATACAGTATTATAATCTTATGGGACCACCATCTATATGCCATCCACCGACTGAAATGTCATTATGCAGTACACAACTGTATACTTCGCTTTTGTCATTCAGTATTATCTTTCTGCGACTTATCCATATTGATGCATATTTAGCTACAGGAAAATAATTTTACTATTCCATAGTCATGCACTATATAACTGACTGTATGACAGACTGTCCACCTCCTCTCCTGCCTGTGAACATGTGCATGATCGTGTGAATGGTTTACAGCTTTGTGGTGCTACTAACAATGCTGCTGTGAACACTCATGCAGATGCACCCTCTTTAGAAAACGCAAGTCTCTTTAGGGACTAAACCAAGACAAGGATGGCCAAGTAGGTCTATCAAGACAATCACATGCTTTTTCCTTTAATACGGTAAGTGGTAAATTAATATATTTTCTAATGTTAAACCAACCTAGCAGTTCAAGTTCAAAGTAGGACATTAAACACAAGCATTTAACTCCACAACCTCCTCAAACCCCCATAATATGGCAATAAAGAGGATTTTTTAAAATTACAAACCCTGAAGGACAAAAACAAACCAGAAATAAGACACAGCAACAAGGATTAGTGGACTTAGCCAACCCCAAAACGCAGAACACTAGGCTACTCGGAGTAGGCCTAGTAAACCTAGATTTAGAACACAAAACCTTGAAAAGATTTAGGAATTGGTAATACCAACACCCCACCCCCTGGAAAAGAAGTATTTGGAGTATGAGGGAATTCAGTGCCCTCAACTTGAAAGAGCTTTTAGAAAGTATGTTTTAGTTGTCAAGAGTAAAGATTCTGATGCCATGCTTCCTGGGTTTATCTTTCAACTTTGCCACCTACTAGCTGTTTGCCTTCGGTCAAGTTCTATACATCTCTTGGTACCTCAAGAAGTTGGTGCTAGGTAAAAACTAATAGCATCAACTTCATAGGGTTGTCATGAGGATTAAATTAGCTAATATGTGCAAAGTGCTTTGAATGATTCCTACCACAGTGTAAACACACACAAGTTTGGGTGTCTTTGTTGTAAGACTGGCAGCAGCTTCAGGGGACTACTAATCTTCAGGGACATCCAGTGTTCATTTAACCCTTGACATGGTGGGAATATTCAGAGAAGATGCTACGAATACTGGGGGATTCTTTACAACAGAGCAGGAGTTCCAAAGGACACAGTGGAAAGGTTTGTAAATGAAAGAAGAGAGGGGAATCGAATCAGGAATAAAATTACAGAGCCACACAAGGATAACATGTCCACGTGTGACACCCAGCAGAGCTTACACTTGAGTAGAATATTTGAAATGCAGTGCTGGATCAGACGAACAGGGCCACTCAGCCCCATGCTGGCCCAGTCCAAAGCACTGAGAAGTTATCTTAATGGGATATGGCTGTCCTTTAGGATAATTCCTTTATTCTGGTCAGTTCTTCTCTCTCCCGTTCCTTTAGGCAGCCATTCTCATAATCCAGCTTTTCACGCTAAGCAGATTACTGTCCTTCTGAAGTGAGAACCAGGTGTAAGAGCATCAGATGGAAATTTCCTATTTTGCTTCCTCCGCAGAAGCCCATCCATTGGGCATCACCCTCACCTCCATTCCTTAGTCCCTGTGGACAACAACCCCTCCTCCCCTAAAGCTAAGCATTCCATCTGTGTCCTTGACCCATCTGTTCATTAGGGTGCACCTGTCATTTATCTCTTCTCTGTATCTTCAACATCTCCTGTCCATCCAGCTCTATTCCCAGAATCTATAAAAATATGGTTGGTTTTTCTTCCTAAAAAATATGAATCCAATCACCCCTTGACCTTGTATCTTCTCCCTTCTCCTTTCTGGCTCATTCTATCTTTTTGAAAGGAGTCACTTATCTTGACTTCACACTATCCCATTGATTTCTCAACCCCCAGCCTTCCCCCAACCCTCAAAACAAAACCGGCTGTGATATTGCCTTCAGTGCTGGGTTTCTCTACCCTATCCCTACCCAGTTCAGAAATGGCCCTTTTAAAATTGAGTGCCAGTGACTTTCTAATTACCAAATCCGTGGATATTTTCCTGTTGTCACTTCATGAGCCCTGTTATGATACTCTCATTTGCTTCTGCTGAATAGGACTTGAGAGGATGGCCTGAGGCACAAGTAAGTGGTTAGGAGTGCCTCATTTAACATAAAGATGACATTCTACAATAGGGGTCCATTCTTCAGACTGAGCACATTGAAGTTACGATTCATCAGTTGGGGGAACTTGCTATTTAAAGGAACCCTAGAGTGAATCCTCCTGCAAGCAGAATTTCCTCCTGTCATAAGCGTTATCATTTCCAAATGTATCTAGCTGCAGAAATTTCCTATTTCAAGATTCCTTAATGCGACACACCTACTCTCAGGCTCACCTCTATTACTGTCTGGGTTGTTTACATATAGGAATCTGGGTTGCTGGTGAAATCAAGTCCATCTA